CGTCCGGAAAAATTTTAGACTTGCAAAACACCCATCACAATACACTGAAAATTTTGGAACAATGTGTCAATTCCTACAACTCTAGTCAAGAAAATTCGCCAAATTTTGCTTCATTAGTATAATAATTAGTTATTACAATCGCTTTTCAGTCAAAAACAATCTAAATGTTATATAAATATTCAGTAAAGGTATCAAGTTCTGAATGATTAATTAATTACTTTAATAAATTTGCTTTTTAATGATATTTAAGCTGGCAACAATTGTTAGGTTTCTGACACAATTCATAACGTTAAATAAGTAATAAGCTGATAATCCAAATCGACATTTCTTAAGAAACTTTTGTCTCTTAATGTTGATTACCAACCAAGTTACTAGATTTCCATGGCTTGCTGCAGTCTAAAAAGGTTGTGAATGCATTATATCACCATATGATTGAATAAAAAAGTTGTCTAGCAACCTTTGCTATTTATTGTTAAAAAAATTAAGCTGGCAGCACCAACGCGTTCATTGTTTAGTTTGACAGTTATGGTCAAATAACTGTCAAATAAAGTGTCAAATAGTTGCATCAATATTTTAAAAATAAATTGCATGGCCTACTAGGCGACATTTTTTCCGATCGTATGGTATTTATGCTAATGACGAACATTCAGATATCTTTTTGTGTTAAGCAGCATATCTTGGATTTATTGAGATAATTACCGAGATATTTTTGTTAAAAATTCTGTAGTCTTAAAATACGTGGAGGTAATCTGAAAGCAGAAATTATTATAAGAAAAGCGGTAAACACCTGAGGTTCTTATTTAGTTAGTTGTCATACTTACTGCAAGATTAAAGCTTTGTACTCATATAATTTTAAGTATTTTACGATTATCTGCAATTTTTTTAATTGTCTTTAGTTAGGAGTATAATTTATTTAATAACAACTTCTACATTTTGTAACTAATTATTAAAATGTCATTAGAATGTAGTCTTATTAGTAAAAAAATTAATATTATACGACTAGGCTCCATCAAGAGATCGTCCAAAAAAACAGCATATAATATTTCTGGTCAACGCATTTTACAACGTATTGTGTTTCCTTGCAAATAGTCGTAAAATCTGTGCTTTAATGTCAATTTAAAAAGTCATAAATCATCTTCTAAAAAGAATAATGATAAATCGAAGGATAAGAGATAAAACGGTGATTTTTAACGTCTCCTGATCGATAACGATAACATACGGTTTAAATATCAACGGTTTGAAGGAGAGGTGCGGATTGGTTACTTGGTTAAATAGTGTCCTAATTGTTCGTTTTTATTTTGGGTTTTATCATATTCTTAATACATGTCGACATATATATCGTACGGTTACTTACTAAGAAGTTACAAAAGAAACAAATCCCCAGTAATGTCCAATATTATTCCTATTAGCAACTTACCGTATAAGTTTTTTAACTGTCGTAAATTCTAAGAACAGATACACTTAACGAGTACAACACCGACATTTTATGAAGCTGTTAGAAAATTTGCAATAAAAATACTTCGGTAGAAATGTGCGAGAGATTCCCATTATGTTCCAATCTTGTATCAGAACTACTTATTTTTCCACATAAATAAGCACGAATCATCCTTTGTCTTTCACGAAAAAAATAACGCTTTTATGACACATTGAATAAGCAAATGGATGAATTATTGCTGTTTATTGATTAATTATTATATAACACACGTAGGTATATAGCCTATTAGAACGCAAAATAAACATATTTAAGATTTTTCACAAAGTCACTACTGTTTAAAATAATACATGTTTGTTTTTCTTTTATACTTGCTGAAGTCAAGATTTACGTTCAATCAATCACGTGCTAGATGTAAATCAAAAGGTGACAATATTAGTTATGATAATTTTCAATCGCATCGTAGTTAAAATTAAGAGACTTAAAAACTGAAACAACTATTATTAGTCGTAAAATCATTTCTTAAGTTAGTCGTTTTGCGTTCCTAGTGACGTCCATGAAGTGCCACTTTCTCGTATGTTTTTTGACCATTTTTTTTTAAGTCAAAAAGCCAAAAGCGCCGTCAGGTATTTGAATTCCACCTTTGCTGAATATCGTTATTACGGTACCAATTTTTTTCTTAGTAGAGGAAAAGTAGCACTTTGGTTTTTTATCAAATCTGCAGGACCTTTCTTTCAACAACGAAAAATATTTTCTGACCTCAAAACTACTTACATAACTAATAATTTTTTGTGTGGTCGCCTACAAAACGTTGTATGTACCTCGGCCAAAGCGAATTTTTCGGCTTCATCTGATTTCAGATCGACCGGAAAAAGTTCTTCTTTATGGTCTTGATACACAAATGACTATTATGAGTCGGATAATTTTGCATTTTAGAACCAAAAAATTAGCGTGTTTATCGTAATCGACAAATTATTCGTTCGTAGCAGTATTAATTGCAAAAAAACTACAAACTATATAAAGGGTTTTGTGTGTTTATATTGAACAACAAAATATTATCTGCACAAAATATTATTTTACATTATAAATAGCACAAGGCACAAGTCTATTTCCATTCGGGATATAAGCAACTGAATGATACTTGTCCAGATATATTTATCATGTAGTTTACATCCTTTTATTTTAATAAAGTTAAACAGCACCGTTAAATAAAAAAAAGACACCATGGAAGAAAACGATTTGTGGTAGTAGAAGAAACTAAATTCTTTAAGCAAACAAAAAGATAAAAAATTCAAATCATGAAAATTTGGTCATAAAAGTTTCATTTCATGCTTTTGAACACAAATGCTGTGAAATTATGCTCTGGTAATTGTTCTAAAAATGCTTGTTTTGAAGCGTGAAGCGTTTTAGGGGAACTTGTATGTTGTTAACCACTGTTATGGTTAAACGTACTTTTATTATAGTGTTATGATTTCTTTGGCGGAAACTCTTACAGAAGGTTGTATTGAATTACAGCTGTTAAATTCACGTTATTACTTCGTTAGCGTTCAATTTTACTTTCTAATTATTACCTTCTACCGTTTTAGCTTCCCTAATTACAATCTCTATAAATCTTCTTTCGTCGTAAATGTTTTGGTGGTACTTTATTTAATACATAATTATGATGTTAGAGATGGTAGTAAGATTTAACTTTAAATGTGCAACCAGATGTTAAAAGAAAATGAAATAAAATGGCTATGCTGTAAAGATTAGTTTTGTCTTCTCTAGCAATTTAGTTTGTAGAAAATTAGGTGTGTATAATTTTTGGGTTAGTTTCGATTGTTGATAATTATGTATATAGCAACGGTCTTCTGGTTTGCGAGCAGTTATATACATTTCACGACCTGTTGAAGATGAAATGATTACAGTCTAAAAAAACACTTCAAATGTATTCATCTTCAAAAACTAAAGGATTCCGACTTGTTAAGTTTTAATTAGATACGTCCTAACGGAGACTGGGAGCAAGTTCCTAATTATTAAATAAAAAACACTTCCTTTTGTTTATCATTGACCTAGTAATCTCCATTTCAAAGTCATAGACGTAGTTTTTGTGTAAAAGCTGGTAATATTTAAATCACTACAAATGCATATAATTAAAATCCATTTCAAAGCAAGGTGCGTCTGTCAAGAGAAATAAAGAAACACACCTACAATAAACTAACATTTAATTACAATTTAAGTTTACTTGTATTTAACCACGGAAGAAATAGAATTAAATTTTTAACAGCATGTTTGAACGCCACTGCTTGAGTTTTTCTCACATCGTTTAAGATTTTTTAAAATTTAAATAAAAATGTTCCTGAGAAATTATACTTCCTGGCCTACAGCAATAAATGTTTAATTTTATTATTTTATCATTTCACGCTAGGAGAACTCGAAAACGTTCGACTCTTGGTGATGATGTGAAAACGCCAACAAAAATGATTTGTTTATTGACCCTCTCCAAAAAAAAAAAAATTAAATCAAAATATTATCATTATGGTATCGACTTTGTACTAACAGATTTCGGACACCTTAATTTAACCTATTTTTTTATTGCATGACGTAATTGCTATTTTTACATCTCGAGCGTACCTTCGACAAGTATTATAATAGTGACCATCTGGCTAATGGCTAATTTCATGTTTTCTCGACGTTTTATAATTCCCCGAGTATGAAAAAGTAGATCTCCTGTTTCCGTCTGACTGTCATGTGCCGTCTGTTGTCAGTCGTCTGGCGTCCGTTGGGTATTTTATTAATCTGGACTAACTATTGTGCAATTTTTTGTTATTAAAATTACTTGGGAATGAACAATCACCATTTTAAAAATACAGTGCATCTACAAGTATAGATATTTAATAGTAATATCTATGTTGCAATGGAAAGTTTTAAAATTTTTGTAAATACATCTAGCAAAGTCCATGATTGCACCCATTTCCTGCGAAAATGATGTAAAATAAACACTGCTTTTTCCAATGACCCGTTATAATTACAATAATTACAGCCATTTCTGGTTATTTGCAAAAAAATCTGCAGTTTGTCTTCTTTTCTGAAAATACACTGTATGCTTATAATTGGTTTGTCCGTTGCAACAAGTTCGTGCAAATAAAAAAAGAAACTTATTCTTAATTATCTCAACAAGTGACAATAAACATACCGTGAAATATACGACCTAAATTATTATTGCCGACATCAAAGATAATGCTGAAAAGGGCAAATATTACCAGGAAACATAAATCGTGTTAATTATGATTAATACAATCTGACAGGCGTACTACTGAGGTGGTATACATTTTGCATTAAATATTTCTTCTTGTCTACAGGATTCATTTCGTTTCCTTTCTCATTTTTTTTACGTCGGATAAATTATCGAAAGTAAGGTGACAGTGATTGTTCTCAATTCAATTTTTCCCTGTTTATCTGGGCAGAACGGTTGGACTCCGTATCGATAAAAAGTGGCCCAGCTATCCTAGTGGAGCGGAACGGGATGGTTCTTAGGTCATAATCGCTGGATACGTCATCTGCAGACGCAGAAAGTCGACAATGGTTCGTGCGGTGACACTGATTGTTACAAATGATTCCGATTAAACGTAATTATCCAAGACCTGTAATCGAATAATTGTAGAAGGTATACATGTCTTGTTTCTTTGAGACCGCTTAAATTAAGGAACTTTTATGTTCTTTGTGTTCTGTCGCTGGTTCGACGTGGTCTTTAACGGCGGATAAACGTTAATTAATGTTGATAACTTGCGCCATTAATAATGCCGGACATTGCTTTCTTGCTAGATGTTTTTCAGCAATACGTTAGTATTAAGAATTGACGTTTTCCAATACTATGCGCGTGGTTAGAGCTTTGTGCACCATACAAATTGCTTCTTATATGTTTAATAGCGGTAATATGTTTTATTGATTGTTACTTGTGTGTTCAAACATTCGAGAAGCCACACCATAAATTTCTTGGGTAATCCAAGTGATTTTTTTGATTGTGACAGACATCGCCTAAGTCTTTCTGACCATTTTTGTCAACACCTACCTATTTCTTCCTAACGTTATGATATTTTGGTTTCCATGCGTTGTTTCTTTGACAGCGTTAATTTATTGTAACAATAATTTAATGTTTCCTGCTGTGAAGATTAGTATGCGTCCAGATTAATTTAGATTTTATGCAGGCAATAGACTGTTGATCTGTAAATAAAAGTAAGAAATAAAAAAAATACTGAATTCATTTTTATTTTTGTTTCAGAAAAATGCGTGTCTCCGAGCTATTTGGAAGAGAATCTAATGCAGTGATGCAGTTTTTCTGCTGTGTCGTGCTGAGCATCTTCTCCATAAATTCAACAGGAGCAGCACGGAGGTCGCCAATAAACGGAACATGGATGTAAGCCACACTGATTCAAAATAACGAGAACATTTATTTCTTTCAAGTTGCGATTTCCGCTTCGTCTAACGCACAGTATGGGTATTTAAGAATTTGCTTCTGAAATATTCAGTTAACGTGAATCTGCTAATACCATGTTGTAGTAAAAACAACTATTACTTTGACATTTTTAGTATTTCAATAGGAATATTTCAACCGGTAGTGTTGTGTTAGTTTAACTTATTTCGTGCAGATATGTGATTAGCTTGTCAAAAAACTAACCTTTATGTAAATTTATGTGATAATAATAAATATAGTACATACACATACAAAGTAGTAATTTTTATTCCTCACTGGTGGTATCTAGTAGATGGCATGAGATAATGTACCTAATACGAAAGTTATTCGAATATCTATAGCAATTTCAGAAATACGTATTATGAAAAACTGAAATTTGTCACTTTCAGTAATTTAATTTTAAAAACAGTATGTTCACTAAGGTTTTTGACCGGTCTATTAAATAATAATCTATTTGAAAGAATAATTCTATCAATAAAGTCTCTGTGCAACACAACTCCTTTCACATTTGCTATTAATTAACGGCTTTTCTACTGTAAAATCCACAACAAATTGTGTGCCTGCATCTTCAAAAGAAACATTGTTAAAATGATGTCACGTAAAAATCGAAGACCCACTTGATTTCACATTATTTTTTAGTCCGCTTTGAAAATCTTAATCACCAATAACGAACTTAAGTTCATACATAAAAAATATAGATATAATCGACACAATATATACTAATATTTTGTATTGAAAAAACTATGTGAACACGACAGCAACAAGAATCTGTCAGCGCATAATAAAATTTGTGAAAGTCCAGTGTGCAATTAATTTTTTCCTGTAAACGTTCACGATGTTGATTTAAGCTGTATCATAAGGCTTTCTCGACAGATCCACATACTGAAAATTTTTCGATGTGGATTGCAGGATCTGCATATAATTTTCAGCCGCCTGACTGACTCTAAAAGAAATACCGCCTTAGATACGGTTTCTGCAATTAACAATCTGTAGTTATTTCGACGGAACTTTTTTCGTGTCTGGAGCGCAAGTAATTTGATTTTACTGAAAAATCTTCTGAAATTATGTTATTATCCTTTTCTGATTAGCGTGATAAATAGTTTTTTTGTACCGCATTTACATTCACAAAATGATGTTAAATTTGCAAAATTAAATTTAACGAAATAATCGAATTAAGTGTAGAGACTGAGAAACATACAAATCATTTTAATCTTGTTCTAAAAGTATAAAGTCTTTGATAAAAACATTAAATATTTGTAATAGAAATGTGTATAACGGGTGGGCTTAAAGTAATGGGAATTTTCAGCTACCGAATGCAATCAGGAATATGCTTTCTTAATGAAAACTTACAAAAATGAGCTTTAAAAAAATATGTATCTACAATACAGTAAAAGGTCGACACTCTTACATTTTTCTTAACCGATTTTAGATCTTAGTGATCATATCTTGGATAGCCCTGAAGCTCATTTTTTATAGCTGCCTTTGTAATCTGCGTTTTAATTGTTGGGTTATTTTGGCCTCCAGCAATGACACGGTGAACCACTCTACATGATATAGACCAAATACCTATAGTTGAAAGGCTTTGGGGATGTTCGGAGTATTTAAATCTTTAGACACGAATTTCACGTCTTGTCTCTCCGCCAGCTCCGGGTGGTCATGGCGTACTGGCAACTTGCCAAATGGACCCAAAATTACCATCAGAATGGTGTTCATTAAACCGATGAACAATTGGTGGGCATTGACGCTGATAGACTTCAACACCGATAAACGAGCCTGAAGAAACTTTGCGAAATTCTTTTTTACGAAATTAAACTCAATAAGGATTTTTTCAAATATTTATTCGCACTTATCTTGCTATCAAATTGATCAAATTAATCAACTTTAATACCTTAATTATAGGTATATACTCTTTATTCTCGTTATTTTAAACCCACCCGCTAGAGAAAGACACTGAAATTGTGTACCTAAATTATTATTTTATCAGAATTAGTTTTAATCTTTTTTCTTGAGTATGTTTCAAAATGCTAGTATAATATGCTGTTGAACAGAATTGATGTCTGTGTTGATATGTTAAACTAGTAGTCATTGTTAGTAGTAATGTATTTTTCTGTAATTAAATTTTGATTTAATTACGACAGTTACAAATTTACCCACTTTAGGTACCAGTTTTTATTTCATCCATAACAGATTCTTGTTTAAGAGCTGGTTCGATAAAGCCGTTTATTAAAAGCCGATTGTAATTTTTCATAAGGTTAAATTGTTTTATGTGAAATTAAAATTTACAGTCTGAGCAATCACGTTTCTCAGACACACCTGGTCGCATTCCAAAAATCGTACTTTGTAACAATTATTTATAAAGTAAATGCACCTGCATTTTCAGATTGACTTTTTTGATACAATGAGCGTGTGTTTGCTCGTAAATCAGCGTTATAATAGGAACAGAATCTAAAGCAGTAAATTCAAAATTGAGGTCGAATACAACACGCTTGTTAGTATCGGTCAGTACAATTAATATTTAATAAAAATATTAAAACTAGTGGAAGAGTGGACCACCGGAATACTAGCAAATTTCCCTGAGGGCCATTTTTAAAGTGGGCTGGAACAAAAAACACATTTGTTAGAATTGCAAATTAAAAAAAAGATCTATAAAAATAAGAAAATTAGAAATGAAAAAGCATTAAGTAAATCTGTACAACAAATTTGATGGACGATTTTTTACGACGAAAAATTAACAAAGTTACCATAATTTTTGCCGTAGTAGTAATAAAAAGCAATAATGTATATGTGTGTTTACAAAAATAGTATTCTGAATGTAGAATTGCTTTTTCATTTTTATTTTTAATCTCTAGAACAATTTGACTTATCATTGTGTCTTATTTCTCAATTTTAGATAGTATTTTTAGACACTCCCGCAGATAGTTGAAATGAAATTGGGCTTCCGGTCATAAATTCATTTGCAACTTCTTCAGCTACATTACCTTTTTACATTACATTTCATCTTCTTCAAGTGCCCTTTTCAAATAAATTTTTCCCCTGGATTAGTCCAGATGTCCTGGTTTTATGTTGTAAAGAATCGACAACATATCTTTCAGCTGCAGCACTCAACTTCCATGGTCAAGTGGCACGACGTTAAAACATCTGGCTGTGAATCCGCTAAAAGCCTTGCCGACGACCTTCAAAAACAGTGCGCGGCATATCTGGAAGGATCAGACAAGTCCAGAAATATTGCTGTATTCTTAGGCTTAGTACCAAAACTAATACCTCAAACAGGTTGTTTAATGCACTGGCCATTTTTATATGCAATGAAAAATTTGGGATCATCAGTTTGCCAGGGACGCAGGCCAATATATGTATGAATCATTTCCATTGAATTTTTCCCTTGAAATTTTCCACCGACAATTAAAAGTTGTCTTGGAGTTTTGATCTTTGTACAGGATGTTCTTATGATAGAAATATTCCCCATGTCCTCCACGCCACTGACTAATACTAGACTCAGTTTGTTCCTCCTGCAACTCCCTACTATTAAAATTACTAGTTAATGTTATAATATTAAAGGTTGCACCAATTTCTAATAATTAGATCTTTATTATGAACATTTTTTCATCATTCGTTTTTGTTTGAAAGTTATGAATATTGTCTTTAGTACCTAAATTTTTTATTACGGGTTCTCTTGTTGTTCTAAAAAAGGTTTAGCCATCAAATTTGAAATATTTATACAAAATGGAGCTTGAGTTTAAATATTTAGTACTTGTGGGTTGGTAATCTGCTTTTATTTCTTTATCCTATTGTAATAATTAGTGATTTTATTTTCCAGACGAATGGGTTTAATGATGGATGAGAAAATGCAAGCAGACCAAGGTCCACCAACATGCCACACGCTTCCGGGCTTGAGTCCAGGCCAGGTCAGACTCTGTCAATTATACATGGACCATATGAACGCAGTTGCCATTGGTGCCCGTCAGGCTCTTCTGGAATGCAAACATCAGTTTCAGAATCGCAGATGGAATTGCTCTTTGTTGAACGACGTCAACGTATTTGGTCCTGTTATAACTATTGGTAAGATATTTGTTTACTTAAGAGAGAAACTGTAAAGCACTAAGACGGTTGCCGCATAAAGTCACTCAAGCGTGAAAAAGCATATTAATACAAGTAGGTGTTAATTAATTTTTATAAGCACTTCATTAGAATAAACAAAAAATGCCTACAGGAAGACGCGATTGTGTAAGAGTTGTAAACAGAAGCGGAGCGCCTGAAAATTCGACATTCGATCATGAAGTCAGTTCAATTCAGACCGGTATTTATTTATATTGTAGCGGTGAATTTGAACTGAGCGTTTCTAATGTATGCACATAAATTTAGTTTCTGCAAGGGCAATAAAATTCATATTATACGCCAATCCATCAACACCCTAATCCAATTTAGAGAGATTGTTTTGCTCAACGTGTTGGAGGCAACGGCTTGTGAGATTTACGATAAAGTTACTAGATCTTTTATGTGCTTTCAAAATCAAATAAAAATCAAATATGATTTTTAAGCAGATCTGAACTTATACCGACTGATTCGAGAAAAAGACGTATAGGTGTACATATAGGGTTGAGTAGAAGCTCAGTTCAAAAAATTCAAACGGGAAAAATATCATCCACACAAAATTCATTTACTACAAGAATTGAGTGAGGATGACTTTGACCGCAGAATCGAATTTTGCGGAAAAATGGTACACAGACTAAATCAGGATGGCAACTTCATAAACCAATTATTATTTTCTGATAAGTCAAGTTTTTGTTTGAATGGGCATGTTAATCGCCAGAACTGTAGATACTAGTGTAATACAAATCCACACTGGATGGAGGAGATTCATAATACAGTACCCCAAAAAATTAATGTTTGGTGCGGCATTATTGGTCGCTACATTGTAGGCCCCTTCTTGATTAACGGGAATTTAACGTCTGATAAATATCTCAAACTTTTGCAACAAAGTATGATTCCTCGACAAATATTTCCCAACTATGAAAACCCAAATTTATCTGCAGAGTCCATGGACGTCACTCTAGAAATTTCAGATTATATTCCGGAATTTTTTGCGTATTTTTAGACTATGCTTACCAAACTCAATTTTTCGAGCCCTTCCCTCATGAAAATTTCGACTTTCTTAGATCCCCATCGAAAAATATCTAAAGAATAATTTTTTAGATATCGACCTGCAGAAGTTATTTTCCGTTTCATTTCTTTGAAAACTCCTTCCATTTTTCCAGAATCTCCCAATGAAATATGCCTATATTTGCGATTAAAAAAACATAGTTTCGAAACGAATATTTCCAAAATTTTTCTCCGGGGCTATAAACATGCCATATTTTTCGAATCACTGCATGAAATCTATGTCCCAGAATTTTTTCGGAATTTTTGGACAACTTTTTCAGTTTCTCAAGTTTTCAACACTCCTACGTGTGAAAATGTCGACTTTTTCGACCACTTTCGAAAATTAGTTAGATATTTTTCTGTAGATATAGTATATTTCTAAAACTTTGCTCCCAGACCATAAACACTTTAGAAATTTCGAATCATATTCCAGAATTTTTTGTGCAATTTTAGACAACTTTTCCAAAAGTTCAATTTTTCAATCCGGCTAACTTATAAAAATTTCGAATTCGTTTGGTCTTCTTTGAAAATTACCTAAAGAATATTTGTTCTAGATTTCTTCGAAAACTCCTTCCATTTTTTCAGAATCGCCCAATGGAAATATTCGGGATTAAAATAAAAACACTTTTAAAGCTAATATTTCGAAAATCTTGGTCCGCCACCCTATATTTTTGGAATCACTATATCGAGATTTATACAGCACAGTTTTTTCTGGATTTTTGGACAATATTTTCAAAAGCTCAAGTTTTCAATACCCTTCTTCATCAAAATTTGGACCTTTTTCGACCACCATTCTAAAATTTTGCTCCGAGACCATAATCACTCTAGGAATTTCGAACCATATTCCGGAATTATTTCGCGTATTTTTAGACAATGCTTCCGAAAGCTCAATTTTTAAATGCTCCTCCCGCATGAAAATTTCGACTTTTTCAGATTTCTACCGCCAGAAGTTATTGTCAGTTTCATTTCTTTGAAAATTCCTTCTTAACAAGTACTAGGGAGGCCCACCCGCCCCTTATTTTGTCAGAGAATATATCATTTGCCAAAATCAGTCTTATCCAAGCAAGTACTAGCCCCGCCCACCCGCCCGCTCTTTTCTCAGGGCGTATGACGTCTGCCAAAATCAGTCTTATCTGAGAAAGTACATTTTGGACGTCAAATACGGCATTACTTGAATGAAATTTTTCCTGGAAGGTGGCTAGGACGAAGAGGAGTAGTTGAGTGGCCAGCTAGGTCACCCAATTTAACCCCACTTGACTTTTATCTGTAGGGTTATGTAAAAAATTGAGTTTATATTAATAAACCACAAAGCATCGAAGAACTCCCAAGAAGGAATTTTAAATGTGATTGCTGATATTCCTCCTAATATTCTAACAAATTCATTTGAAAACTTTGTGCAACGTATTTATTATTGCGAAGAAGTATATTTTATATTTTTGATTTTTTTCTTAATACACATAGTATTTTTTGAACAAACGATAGCCAAAAACATGTTTTTAATTTCTTGTAGAGAAATAAGTATTTTGCAGTTAAGCTCCGCCCCCTTGGTTTACGGCGAATAAAAAAATCACCACAATTGAGATAGGGCGGGGGGGAGGGCTTATATTTTGACTTTTTGTTTTAATATGTGTGTACTTCTTTTCATAACATGAAACATAAAAGATGTTTAAAGTGGAACATTTGCATAAGGAAATATCGATTTTGCAATTTTGTTCTGCCCCATAATTGTAAAATCCATATTCCCTTGTAAAAATGTACCACTTTAACCATGTTTTAAATTTCTTGATGTGTAAAAATGGCAATGTATATTAAGAAAAAAGGGCAAAATGTAAGCTCCGCCCAATGCCCTATCTCAATTCTGATGATTTTCATTATTCGTCGTAAGCTGAGGGGCAGAGCTTAACTGCAAAATCTTATTTCTCTACAAGAAATTAAAAACATCTTTTTGAGTATCGTGTTGTTCAAAGAATACAATGTATATTAAGAAAAAAATAAAGCCAAAGATTAGACCCCACCCATACCCGCCCCGATCTCAGTTCTCAATTGTGATGAATTTTTCATTTGTTGTAAGATCGAGGGGCGGGGCTTAATTGCAAGATTCATATTTGTCTACAAGAATTTACCATTTTAAACATGTTTTAAGGTACCTACTTGTCCTGAAAATGCTAATAATTTGCCTTTCTTTCTTAATATACATTCTTTGAACAACACGATACTCAAAAACATGTTTTTAATGTCTTGTAAAGAAACAAGTATTTTGCAGTTAAGCGCCACCCCGTTGGTTCTTGGCCAATAACAAAAATTATCACAATTGAGGTAGAGTGGATAGGAGGGCTTACATTTTGCCTTTTTGTTTTAAATGTGTGTAGAAGAACATTTCGAGCATTTGTTGTAAAATTATTGTTTTTTAAATGTTAATTTGATCTTTATTCAATAATGTAATTTTTTATATAAATATTTTCAAAAAGCTTTCGTAACAATGTATTCACTATTTACAATAATTAAATGAGAGTATTGTTATTTCTAGAATATTTTGTAAATTACTTGGAAAAACCATTTAAAACAATCTCTTACCCTGACATCTTTATTTCAATTTATGTACCCTCTCGTTCTATCATTTTTACAATGTTTGGGCACTACTATAATTTTTGAATAGTGTCCTACGTCAGGACTACAACAGGTAATAGTACTATCAAGGCTAGTTACGATTTTCTAGTTTTCAGTATTTTTATTTTAACAATTTATTTTACCATGTTGGGATAAAATAAAATAAGCATGCGTTACATTTCTAAATTCAGAAAAAATGCACTCTTTAAAAATGGAACATTTGACTACTAGTGCCTTAAAAAAAAAACAAGTTAACCCTGCTTCTCAAAAAGAAATAAAGTAATTGCAGAAAATAGAATTTGAGTAGGTATTCCTAGGGACAGCCCGAATTATAAAAAGATTCAATAAACCGTTCTCGCGATATTCAACTGCCTTTTAGCAACCCTGTATATATATATTTTTTGTCTTACTAATTTGTCTATGCTTTGTCGTCAATCACTTAGGTGGATTTATTTTTGTTGTACACTACTTATAGTCGGTGACTTATATCTTAAGAGTGCATTTTTTTTTACTGAATACACATCTGTCATATACATAACTCTTTCTATATTGTCTTTTCTCATGTTTATTTTACGATCATTGGTCAATAGATCTGTGTGAATTGGTATTTTTGTCATAGGCAACTCTATTTTTTGGTGATTTCAATGATGAATCAAACCGGAAGACTGCAAAATTCTAAATTTATGAAAAAGTTCTTTTGTTTTTTATTGTAGTATTTGCTTGGAATGTTAAGGAAGAGAGCTGATTATGTGCAGAAAATGATGAATTGGTGTTCTGTTCGATCTTTTTTCCCGAAAATATGAGTGTATACCATTGTTATTACATATTAGGGTAAATGTGTACAAGAGTGCGCATATGTATAAGAGTACGCACTGATGATTTCTGCTTATTAGTGCCATCTGGGTAAGATGAAGTTATACCATTCAGAATTTAATGTTAAACCTGAGATAAAGGTGCAAAAGTGACCTGAATATAGTTTATAGTTTGGTCGTACTGACGATTTTATGTTCACACGTTGTGTGGATGTAATTTTTACCGCTCATAGTTTTAGTTTTTTGTAAGGTACGTACCAGTTCTTTTATTTTACAGTAATAATTTTCATTAGTTGTAACTTTTAAGGTGTCGTTATACACTAACAGTTTTACACTTTCTGTCCATCAAAAGCTTTTAACTTTGAAAACATTAGGTTATGTACAAATGTACAAGAGTGCGCAGCGAGGTATTGTATAAGCGTGCGCATTGCTTGCAATATGTAGTCTAATAGTCTTGGAGATACATATCATACGGTAATGAATTATTTAACTCTACTACTT